AATATACGAGACTAAGTGGATCTACCAAATGGGAAGAACACCATTGGGTGCAAGTGAGTGTACATTATAAAACACAAAGTTGATGGTTCTATAGAAAAAAATAAAGCTAGATTGGTAGCAAATGAGTTTACATAGGAGCATTTTGACTATAAGGAAACCTTGGCTTTAGCTGCAAAGCTTAATATTATATGGGTGTTGCTATCTCTAATAGCTAATTAGTCTTGGGAGTTGCATCAGCTAGATGTTAAGAATACTTTCTTGAATGGGGACTGATGAGGGTAATTTTTTTCTCCAAATTACATCACGACATGTAGCATGTCTGAATAGTTAGATGACATCTCAGCATTGAGTAAGTTGATTACCATGGCAGAATGGCTAGCAGTAGCTCGACCAGGGCCGACCTGTAATACCTCGGCCTTGCCGGTCTAAGACCTCGGCGTGAGGAGAGACCTCCTCGAGCATTTTCTGAGTTCACTAAGGTCCAAGTAGAGACCTACGAAATATCTTCGTCGACCTCTTCCTTAAGCAAGTTACTATTTCTGACTTCTCTGAGGTAACAACGCTCAACCACAAGGCCTGCCTACCCGCAATGTTTGCATCAGATTTGATCAAGTGGTCCTTAGCCCTGTGTGTGGATCGCGTAATTGACTGAAAGATCCTCTTCGAACTTAGTGGGAAAGGTTCCCTAGGAATCTTAGACTCGTTTGGTTCCTTACACCTATATAAAGGCATCACTTCCTTGAGAAAATATATGCGTAGTTTAGCTTTTGTAGTTCTCTAAATCTCTCAAAAATCTCTAATTCGCTGACTTAAGCATCGGAGTGCCCACCCCGGGTAGAGCAACCTAGGCACTCTAATACTATCTCTATATAGGTCATCCTAGTAAACTATACAACCTGTTGTTATTTAGCTCGACATTATTCAGCTCGGCATCCAAGTCACCTTCTAGCTTGACATTATTCAACTCACCATTTGAGTCACCTTCCAACAAGGAATTGTCCAGCTCGACATCTGAATCACCTTCTAGCAGGGAGCTGTCAGATCACACATCATCAGGGACCTACAAGAGGAAGTTTATATGGATCCTCCTCTAGGGTCTAACACAAAAGGAAATGTGTGTAGATTTAAAAGTGCCTTACATAGACTTAAGTAATCACCCATGGCATGGTTCCAGAGGTTAACTAGAGCAACGAAAACTACGGGGTACATGCAAGGCAGTGTAAATCATACATTTTGTTCTATAAAAGGACAAGAGGTTTAATAGTATTAATTATGTATGTTAATGATATGGTAGTTAAGATAAAATCCTACCATTGTATATTTTGCAGGCAAAAACAAATCCAACATTCAATAAACTATTGGTTCTCTCTTTTTCTCCCCAAATTTATTGAATAAGCTAGATTACAACAACTCTAGAAAATTTAAAAAAAAAATAAAAGAAGTGGTAGAAACATATGAAAACTTGAATTGAGATTGGCAAATAAATTCATTAATCAACATTCTCCATGATATTTTCGGGAGTGAACTTGGTGCAATTGTACTTATTAGTAGCCACTCTACTCTTGTCCTTGTGATCAAGGACAAATTAACACAGGGTTGGTTTCAGTTTCAATTTCAGGTAACCCGACCAGGTCGAATCGGTTGGAAAAATCTCAATAAACCGACCCAACCCGACCTGTAAACAACCCTAATAGTGGTGGTTAAAATTGAACACTGCTAGCAAGATGTATGTAACAACACTAACATAACCGTCGCTATATCATATGCCACTATATTATACCTATAGCGCTTTGTCATAACCGTCACAAAAAATGAAATCTATATTGGTGGTTTTATATTTATGCCACTATGAAATCTGCCGCTATAGTCCAATATTGCTGCACTGAATTCCGCTGGAAACCCTACATTTTCTCTTGAAAGAAGGGTAAATGTGTGCACAAAGATGCCCACCTAATATTTCATCCTTTTATCTTTCATTCAACATTTACTTTAATCTCTATAGTGGCATTTAAAATCAAACGCTATTAGCAAGATGCATGTAGTGGCACTAACATAACTGTTGCTATATCATAGATCACTATATTTTGGGAGAATGACCAATCAGCCCATATTAGAATTTTATAGCCCCAAAGTATAGGGGGAATGCATCCTGACCGTGAATTGATGCCAAATTCACAGGAAGGATGTGATTTATAGGGGGGAAAGGGCTAGTAATAAAGGGGGACTGGAATTTAGAATTCTGCATCGGATGTATCTGTACTTCTCCGTTATATTTATGCCATGATGAAATCTGCCGCTATATTCTAATATTGTTGTTGTAGTGTTCCGCTGCTATTCGAGCCAAACCTTGTCCCATTTACAACCACCTTGATAACTCTTGGGAACTTGACCACCTAAAACCTTATTGCTTCTAGATTATACTGAGAAATATTAGATGAACTAACATCAATTATCCCACCTACCTGCTAAGCTCCAAGCATGCAATGATATCACAAATAAGTGAATTCATCATTTCTTGTAACGACCAATGTTTTAAAAACTGATTTGAAGGCTGAACTGTTTTTGTCTTTGGGTCGTCAGTCATCAGTTTGACTAGTCAGGTTGAACGGTTCAGACCATGCCACATCAAGGCATATATGTGTTATGTATATATATATATATATATATATGTATATGTGTGTGTATAAATATATATTTTAGATATGTTATATGTATTATTTTATATCTAATTTATATTTTTTAATTCAGTTTTTAATTTTTTTATTTATAAAAATATTAAAAATTGTAATTTGAGGCCAAAAAGGGTTCTCTTTTTTTGCGAAAATAGCGGGGCAAGACACCTATGGTTCCTTGGGATGCATAGATTTTGAAAAGTTACCCAAAATCAAGGGAAAATTTCAGTTTAGTACTCTAAACTTTGGGGGTAGTGTCAAGTTAATACCCAAACTTTAAAATGTGATTGTTCATTGTCTTCTTCCTTGAAACTGAAATAGAAGAGAACTTAATTTAATATGTGTAGGCATGGGCAGCCAACACTTTACAAGATGTAGCATTCAAGACATTCTTTGTGAGACCCTTCTCCCGTGCTGCTATCTTAACCTTCTCTCCTGTTCTCTTTACATTGTCATTTGTATGATAAACTACACCAACAGATTGGATGGTTGATCCATGAGCACCCACAACGCCAACAGAGGTTCCAGGGAATGGGCTTCACTGGAAAGACATGTTTGGATACTCAAACCTAAACCCAGAATAAAAGCCATGAACAACAATTTCTGTGAAAAATATGGTATTGGTTGGGAGATATGTTATTGCTATTGAACCCATGTTTCCCAAGCACAAATTCTGGAAAAATGACCAAGAATAGAAATGGATAGAACCACCTACGAGGGCTTTCCTTGTTTCTACGGCCACAAAAGTTTTCCGAAAGTTCTTACAGGAAAGTCTAATGACCAAGAGAAAGGCATGAAGTACAAACAGTCCAGAAAGTTTCAGAGTTGGGTTGGTTATGATTTATGAACCGCGCTCTTGGAACAGTTGCTTGAGCCATTACTTACGGGGTTCTTAACTGTGGGGGTGTTTGTCTGGATTACATTTGCTGAGGACACTTCTTATTAGATCATAAGAAGATCTACAACCACACAAGTTGCTGAAAGAAAATGTCTCAAGAGAACTTTAACATGAGTGCATGAGCACCATATATAATAACAATTTCTATAAACAGGGAGATAGCTAATGGACTCAGAAGGGATGCATTTTACATTTGGTAATAATTGGTCTATAACATGCCACAAAGGRTTAAAGATTACTGAGAAAGTATTTACACCAAAGACTCAATAGTTGAGATGGTCAATCAGCATCCCTCCATAAATGTAGATAGGCACGGGATTAAACTGTGTGACTGCAACTCACCATTCTAAGGCCAATGACCACATGGGGCCCTTCTCTGTCTGCACCCCTTATTCCCCTCGTAATACATAGTGTTTGTAATGATCTGAGCATCTCCTTGAAATCATATATGGTTATGTTGCATTTCTTTTGTTTATCATTTAAGCGTATCTGTACTACCTACAAAAGAGTGAATGTTCTTTCATTCTGGATTTTCATTGGGCATTTTCTATCCCTCCTTTCTAAACATACAATGGGCATAAAGAGGGCATATATTTTTTTTATTATCATTTTAGAAACTGTCTTCTTGTAACTGTCTAGAAACTGTTTACTTATAACTATCCAGAAATTGCCCACTTGTAACTGACCAAAAACTATCAATGAATTATAAATAGTTTTGTCTTAGAGATACTGCAACGTGCAAATGCATGTACATGTTCGCTAGTAAAACATAAAAGTACTACAACTGAAAATGATTTTATAATAAAAATCTTCAATAAAATTTAGAGGTAAAAGATTATTGAAATTCTAGAATTGTTTCATCTATAATGGAAAAAAAGAGATGAAAAAAATTTCTAATGTAGAAAGGCACTTGAAAAATCAAATCAGAGGTATCCGGCCTGGTCTTGAAAAACTTCTCAAGGTTAAGAGAAAGTTTGTTTAGGGTGGGGACTATTACGAAGGTGAAGAAGGTTGTGAAGATAAGGAAAGAGATTCGCCCTCAAATCACTGGAAGAGATAAAAGTAGTTAAGTAAAGATCTTGATTGAAGAGTAAGTAGTGTAGTATTTTACTGTCTTTGTTTGTTTTTTGGAGTTTGGTGGCGTTTTGATGCTTTGGCTTTAGGTGGGTGCTGTGGCTTGTGTTGAGTCTATTGTTTTGAAAGGTTTTTGTTGTTCCAGTTTGGTTTGTTTGGGGTTGGATGGAGTTTGTTTGGATGGCGTTTTGGCTTTCAAGTGGTTGAAGTTTGGAGTATGTTGGAGAATGTTTGTTGTCTTTCTTCTCTCGGGTGATTTTTGGTCACCTCTGTTGTAATTTATTTCTTTTTTTTTAATAAAATTTTTAGTTTATCTTCAAAAGAATTCTAAATTGTATCTTTTGAATGTACGATAGATTTGATAAAAGATGTCCGGGTGAAAGCAATTATTCTTGGGCCACAAACATCTGAATCTGAAGAGACAGATTTCCTGGTCGGCATGGGAAACGAAGCTCGAATACCAATCTTTTCCGTCTCTCCGTTCAGCTTAAGCCTTTCTCCCCGCCAATTCCCTTACTTTGTGCGAATTGCTCAGATTGATTTGTCCCAGGTCAAAGCAAATATTGCTGCCATCGTCCAAGCATATCGATTGAGAGAAGTGTCCATCATCCATGATGACAGTGAAAGTGCAGCTGAAGCGATACTACATATTTCTGATACGCTTGCAGATATGGGTGTTCAAGTACTATGCCAAAGAATTGTCTTACCCTATGGTGCAGAAACTAAAGTAATTAAAGATACTTTGCACGAGCTAAGAGGAACTAGCACAAGAAGCTTCATCGTCCATCTATCTATTTCTCTTTCTTCTTCCTTCTTCACACAAGTCAAGAAGGCGGGGATGATGAAATTTGGGTACCTGTGGATTGCTACGGATTCCTGTATCTTCCATTCCACTGAAAGCGTTTTGGGTGCAAAGGCTCAGCTGCCACAGTCTCAAGCCTTTGGTTTGTTTGAAGATCGCTGGAGAAAACAAATTCAAGAGGAACATCTGGACAAGGAAAATATGGAACACCACGTTTATGCATTACTCTGGGCATATGATACAGTATTCTTCATTGCAACTGCCGTTGAAAAAGTTGCAGCCGGAAAGGCTGATTCGTTCAAATCTCTAGTGCCGTCCAAACTTCGGAGAGTTGATACGACAGAAGGGAGAACTCACAGAGTTGAGTATTCGACCCCAAGGACCGGTCCTTCACGTCGTTTGATGAGCTCAGAAGATACAGACGTAAAATGCCCGAATGGATTTACAGCTAATTCTAATGATAGAATATTAACTATTGGTATCCCTATTCGTAGCGTGTTTGGTGAATTCGTTAATGTGACTTACGACAACGATACCCGTAAAAATACATCGACGGGTTTCTCAATAGAAGTTTTCGAATCTGCTATGCAGAACCTAAACTACTGTTACAAGTACGTCCCATTTGAAGGAGCTTATACCGATCTCGTGCGTCAAGTATCCAACCAGGTAGTACTTTTAAATTTCGTAATCCCAATTTGGATATTTGGTCTATGCATGATCCCAATGAGCTATTTCGGTTCTAACTGTTTGATTGAATGAAATGGAATCTCATTCACATTCTTATTGGAATGGTATTCTCCCATTTGAGGGAATGGCCATTCCCTCTTGTTCATTCCTATTGATTCCAATTTCCATTTCCATTCCTGTCTGAATACTATGAAAATAGATCATTTCGACTCCGATTCCGACTGTAAACCAAACCAACAAGTATCAGCGACTCCCATTTGCTCCAATGCTTTAATAACCAGAACGGCTGCTGAACAGTTCGATAAAACCTGATTCAATCCTCTGAAATCTGAATCCCAAGGTTTGGCCGGTTATATTGAACAGACAAGATTTCCAGTTCTCGTAAACTGGAAACGTTGATTTTGTTGGTCGTATCCTGTGGGTACATTCGTGTGGGAAAGAAATCAGGTATGGTTTTGGGGGATCTAACGTCTCAAAATTTTTTTCGATCCTCTCTCTCTCTCTGATATACGCACACATCAAGGTTTTTTTTTTCGCTAACCACACATCAAGTTAAACAATTGTCGTTTCTCTCTCTCTCTGACTTGCTTTTCTTATTTATTTTATTTAATTACTTATGTACTGGTCGGATGGATCAGGTTTTTAATGCGGCTGTGGGAGATATAACAATTACACAAGAGAGATTGAAAATTGTAGGGTTCACACAACCATATACTGGATTCGGAGTTGCCCTGATTGTGCCCATAGAGAACCATGGCAGAGTTTGGCTGTGGTTTTTCAAGCCTTTTAAACCACTGGTATGGTTGGTTAGCTTTATATTGTGCATCTCGAAAGGATTGTTAGTATGGCTGTTTGAGCGTAAACGTAATGCCGATTTTCAAGGCAAATGTTTGGGGAAAGTTCTCCATTATTCCTTCTCCCTAATAGTTTTTGCACAAAGTAAGTAAAAATATTTCTATTCATTTATTGGGTAGTGTTAAATTCTAAGAAAAATATTTTACAACAATGGATTCTTTTTTCTCTTTTTGATGGTTGTATTCTAGTTATAACATGCAAGAAATCTCAAAAGGAAAAGGAAAGCATTCATACTAATTAGTTAATTCACTAGCTAGTACTTTTTCTTATTTAAATTTATTAAATCATGTGTTGCTGCACTCTTTATGGGGGTATTCTACAATATAAATGTTTTTGAACTCTAATTTTATTTTCAAAGGAAAGAAATAAGTTGGTTTTGTTTTTAGAAAACAATACATGTTTATGGAACCAACAAAATATTAGTTTCTAAAACAAAAACAATATATAAATTATATGATTTTTGGAATATGATGTTGAATAATCATATGAAAACATATTTTGAAATCAGATTCAAGAACATGTTTTTGGTTTCAGTTTTAAAACAAATAAAAACACACACACACACACACAACGAAGAACATGTTTTTTGTGTTTTTGTTTTAAGAAACAAGATGGTCTTGATTTGCTTTTGGAATTGGTAACAGGAAAAACAATTCATATTGTAGAACACCCCCTATGTTTACGATTGATTTTGAAATCTGTTCTAATCTGCTGCATATTTATTTTTATGTATGAAGTTAAAAGAAAATATGCAGCAAATTAGAAGGGAATTCAAAATGATGAATGCAATTGTTTCACAATTTGGTTTGGAATACAGTAAGACATGCATCACAATCATGAATGTGTTGTTTTTTGATCTGCTGACCACAATTCATTGCTAGCCACATTCATCCACCCACACCTTTGGAACATCAGTTGTACTTTACATCACTGATATTTTCAACATGCGGCTGGATGAGCATTGCCAGCAATGTGTAGTGGTCAGCAGATTTGGATGCGTTGTTTGAGGGTATCTCAATAGAAAACCTCATACAGGTTACTACAGCTGTATATTTGGGAACATCTCCCATGAATGGCAACATACAAGTACAGAAGATGTTCCTGATCAATGTGTTGATTCACATGGAAAGCAGATCCCAACACATCAATAGGCGCTGTATTACATTCTTGCCTAGGTTGTTTTTGGTTTCAGTAGATCGATCGAAGTCAAAACTATATGACAGGACTAACTTTCCATTCCATGTAATTAATCTTTTGTTTGTAAATGATTCAAGATTACATGCTTCTAATTAATGAACAAAGTTGCATTTTGTTATTATTTATTAACTTCAATATGTTATCTTTGTGATCCTCTTCATGGATCAGAAAGATGATCCTTCTAAGGTTGTTGATGTATATTTTTTATCAGAAACTAAAACTTCTAAGGTACTTCGTATATATCTTGTAGACACTTTTTTGCTGTTTTCTTTCTTTTYTTAATTTCTCTTTGTACTTTCAATGACATCCTCATAAATTTTCTTATGATATATACAGGGGAAGGCCTTACATCAAACTACTCTAGATTCATCATAAACTTGTGGATGTTCTCATTGTTTATTTTGGTGGCATGTTACAATGCAAATCTAACTTCCTTCTTAACGGTGGAGAACATTACGCCAACTGTTACAAGTATTGATACATTGCACAATGATGGAAGTTATGTTGGTTGTTATAAGGACTCCTTCGTGTGCAATCTTTTGATCAATAACGGATTCAATAAAAAAAAGCTTAAAAAGCTTTCGACACGAATCGAATATGCAAATGCTTTATCAAACAAAAGTGTTGCTGCAATTGTTGAAGAAGTCCCATACATCAATGTATTTCTAAAACTGTTTTGTAGTCAGTTCGCTATGGCTGGATCAACTATTAGAACCGGAGGATTTGGCTTTGTAAGTATATATCTTCATCTTTTTTTTTTCTAATATTTTTTTGAAATATCATTCACATATCATTTATCCATCTTTTCTAGAAATTGATATAATTAGGGTAACGTTGGAGACTTCCATGAATCTAACTATTAGCTGCATCTGATCCGATTTTTAATCGAATACCATTAACAATTCTATTTGATGATGTGGTAACCACTGATGACATGTCACCATTACTCCTAATACGCCCCCTCAAGCAAATGGGCATGGGAAGCACATGCAGCTTGTCAACTAATGATGTAAAGCATGGCGACAGTAGAGGTTTCGTGAAAATGTCAGCGAGCTGATCAACAGATGGGATATACTGAATGTAAAGTGCACAGTTGAGAGGGAGATCTCATAGAAAATGGAAATCAACTTGAATATAATGGGTGCGAGTGTGAAAATTGGGCTGAGAAGCAAGGTAGCAAGCACCTACGTTGTCACAATGAAGAGCTGGTCTAGTGTATGTTTGAGATACTGAAGAATGTGTTTGGCTTGCCGTCCAATGTTCATAAGTGGGAGTATGTAAAAACTGGCAGGCCTTGTTTACTACGAAGCTAATATCAGGCCGAGTGAGAGTGGGATACTGGAGGTCCCCAACAACACTCCGACACTGAGAGGGATCTGAGAGAGGCGAGCCATGTAGTTTTAATAGCTTGGTAGAGGCTGCAATTGGAGTTGAAAGAGGCTTGACTCTATCAAGGCCAGCACGGTGAAGAAGATCAATAATATACCGTCAATGGCTGAGATAAAGACCATTAGTATTTCTGTGAGCTTTGATCCCCAAAAAATAATGTAAAGGTCCAAGGCCATTTAGCTTGAAGGCATGAGCCAGACCATGAATAAGAGACTGAATGAGGGATGGAGAGGTCCCAATGAGCAACAAGTCATCCACATACAATAGTAGATAGACATGGTGATCCCCTCTGGAATATATGAACAATGACGGATCACAACAAGAAGCCCAACATCCCAACTCAGTAAGTTTGGTACTTAGATGAGAAAACCATGCTCGTGGGGCTTGATGAAGCCCATGCAGGGCTTTACTTAATTTGCAGACATGAGAGGGGTGATAGCATCTTCAAAGCCCATCAGTTGACGCATGTAAATGTTTTTCATGACAAGCCCATTGAAGAAGGTATTGTCGAAATCCAATTGGTGAACATCCCGCTGCTGAGAAGTAGCAAGAGACAAGATAGTACAAATGGTGGCTGGTTTAACAATAAGGTTGAAAGTGTGAGAAAAATCAACCCCCGGTATTTATGTGAAACCCTAAGCTACTAAGAGGGATGTTATAATTCTGATTTGCACTAGAATTCTGTTAGTATTAGTACTAGAGAAGTATTAGAAGAGATACTAGAGAGAATAAAAGAAGAAGAAGGAGAGAAGAGAATAGAGAAGAAGAGAATTCTGGTTCGAACTAGAGAGCATAATTCTTCTCTTTAGTCGGCCAGGTTATATTTAAATGTTTCTATCCGATAAACAAAAGACTATTATGTCCCTATTTAAGTATGGGACACATCACTTAATATAAACATTACACATCAGCTTTAAATTTAAATAGAAAGATTAAAATACCCCTATACAGTCGACACTAACACTCCCCCTCAAGTTGTTGAGTATATATCATATAGTCTTAGCTTGTTACATATGTAGTGCACTCTTCCTCGACTCAACCCTTTAGTGAACAAGTCTGCCCATTGACTCCCCGTGTTAACATATGCATTATTTATCACTTCACTAAGTACCTTCTCTCTCACAAAGTGACAGTCAACTTTCTATATGCTTTCTTCTCTCATGAAATATTGGATTAGAAGAGATGTGGACTGCAGCTTGGTTGTCACAATAAAGATTCATTGGAGTGTCAATCGAATATCCCATCTATTGTAGAAGATTTATCAACCACACTAATTCACAAGTGGTATGTACCATGGCTCTATATTCAGCTTCTGCACTGCTTCTTGCCACAACTGTCTATTTCTTACTTTTTCATGTCACCAGAACCATCCCAATCAGCATTAGTGTATCCCTCTATTTTGAGATTTCCTTCACTCTTATATATCAAGCCACGACAAGGAGCTCCCTTCAAATACCTTACAATCCTTAGAACTGCATCCCAATGTAGAACCCGAGGTTTCTGCATAAACTGACTCACCACACTAACTGCAAATGAAATATCTGCTTGGGTAATGGTTAGGTAGCTTAGCTTACCCACCAACCACCTGTACCTTCTAGGATCTTCAAATTCTTCACCCATATCATTGCTCAACTTGGTATTTGATTTCATAGCAGGTAGAGATATTGGCTGGTTTGGCACCTAATAATCCAGTTTCTTCTAACAAATCAAGAACATAATTCCTTTGACACAAATTAATACCATGCTTAGACCTTGCTACTTCTATCCCCAAGAAGTATTTTAATTTACCAAGGTCCTTGGTTTGAAAGTGTTCCTGTAGGAAGGTCTTCAACCTATCAATTCCCAATCTATCATTGTCAGTAATGACAATATCATCTACATATACCACCAATAAGATCTTCCCAGCATGCGAATCATGACTGAATACTGAGTGGTCAACCTAATACTTTTTCATACCAAACAGCCTTACCACTTTACTGAATCTACCAAACAATGCACGAGGAGACTGCTTAAGTCCATAAATGGCCTTCTTTAGTCTACACACTTTACCATCCTCCTCTTGAGCAACAAACCCTGGTTCTTGCTCCATATAGACTTCCTCAAGTGGATCACCATATAAGAAAGCATTCTTAATGTCAAGCTGAAAGAGAGGACAATCATACATAGTAGTTAGAGATATCACAACATGGACTAGACCAATTTTAGCAACGGGAGAGAAGGTCTCCGTGTAGTCAATATCATATGTTTGGGAATACCCTTTGGCGACCAGTCTAGATTTTAACCGCTCCCACATATGATTATGAGTTAAGGTGGAGAGTTCTTCCATTGCATGGTGCCACCCTGGAGAGGCAAGGGCTTCTCGGATATCTTTAGGAACGAAAATAGAAGACAACAAAGAAATAAACTAGCGATGGGAAGTAGAAAAGTGAGTAACAAAAACATAATTAGAAATAGGATGAAGTGTGCAACTGCGTTTACCTTTCTACAAGGCAATAGGAAGATCAAGGTCAGAAACCGGGGTTGTAACAAGTGTGGGAACAACTGCTGGATTTGTCGATAGTGATGAAGCTGGAGGAACTGGTACATGTTGTCAATGTGTATAGACTTGACGAATGGGTGGCCATTCAACAAGAAATTGCACCAGAGGCAAAGACTTTGTCACAACTGGAACAAGTGGAATGGGGTCCTTAATGGAGATTGGAAGAGGAGGTGGTGAGGAAGAAGAAACATCACTTGACTTCGAGAAAAACGGAGTGGATTCCACGAAAGTAACATTAATACACATTATTTTATTTGGACCCCAAACATTTAAATGAACTAAAGAAAAAGGACTTGATATACGACTATCAATCCTAGGATTAAAGGGAACACGATGATGTTTCTTCAACTAAATGAACTAAAGAAAAAGGACTCGGCATACAACTATCAATCCTAGGATTAAAGGGAACACGATGATGTTTCCCCAACTGAAAGATGACTCAACGACGGAACGAGAGACTTCATTACTTTAAGTGATGGATGACCAAATCTACAGTGTCGTATTAGCCGTTACGTATTGTTCCGGGACCCCTCCGATACGCCCCTTAGTAGAAAGCTTGTTGAATTAAAAAATATGAAATAAAAGGAGTTTCTTGAAGAAAGGGGGAAGAGAGAAGGAGAATAAGAGAATTTGAAAAGAAAGGAGTGCAAAAATTTAGCCGCCTCCTTCACTTATTATTTATATTAAAAATAATAGAGCAGTACAAAGACAACTATACCCTTATAGGGCAGCAAGACATAAAATAGCATATATAAGACACAAAAACATAATAAAATTTGGACTCACATAATTACTGTGGTCTCCACCTATTTAACGACTAACATAAAACATCTACTCATAAAAAAATCATAAAACTAATTAATCTTCAATACTCCTCCTCAAGTTGGGAGTAAATGTCACACATTCCCAACTTGCGTAGATCATGTTCAATCTTGTTCTTTGCCCATCCCTTTAGTGAGAACATTAGCTAGTTGCAACTCTGAAAAGACATAAGGCAAACGGACTTCTCCGGTTGTTACCCTTTCTCTTATAAATTGTTTATCAACTTCAATGTGTTTTGCCCTATCATGCTGAATTGGATTGTGGGCAATATTGATTGCAGCTTGATTGTCACAGTATAACATCATAGGTTTCTCTGATTTCAACCCAATCTCACTCAAAAGAGATCTAACCCAAAGAAGTTCTGAGACACCATGAGCCATGGATCTATACTCGGCCTCTGCACTTGACCTTGCCACAACCGCTTGCTGCTTACTCTTCCAAAAGATCAAGTTTCCACCTACAAAGGTACACACTCCTGATATAGACCTCCTGTCATCTAAGCATCCTACCCAATCTGCATTTGTATAGGACTCTAGCTTTAGATTCTCATGATTTGAGAAAAGAATGCCTCTACTAGGGTGCTTTTTCAGATATGCAAATATCCTCTCAATAGCTTCCCAGTGTTGAACCTGAGGTGCATGCATGTACTGACTCACAACACTGGCAGCATAACAAAAATCTGGTGATGTCATACACAAATACAGCAGTCGACCCACCATTCTTTGATATCTCCCTACATCCTTTACCAACTCACCATCTACACCATTGACTCTATGATTTGGAACAATAGGAGTGTCTGCTGGTTTGGTCTCCAGCTTTCCAATCTCCTACAATAGGTCAAGTACATACTTCCTCTGTGAAATAAAGATCCCATGCTTGGATATTGCAACTTCAATCCCAAAGAAGTATTTGATCTCACCAAGATCTTTGATCTCAAATTCTTGCTACAATGATTTTTTGAGATCATCAATCTCCTCTAGA